ATAATAATAATAATAATAATAATAATAATAATAATAATAATAATAATTTGATGTGCCAATGAGACTTAACTAAGCATTTTTCTTAGTTTGTAACACATTACAATTCCAAAGATATTACAGCCACTAATTTGTTTGGAATAAAAATCCAGTCTTTTTGCAGGGCAAAAAAGATGAGTGTTTTTCATTTCTAAGCAATGGCTAGCCCCTAATAAAATGGTAGATTTCTATTAAAGTGGCCATATTTCATTTTAGGTTATGGAAGAAAACAGATCAGTGAAAAAGAAAAAAACACAGTTGAGAATCTCAACAGTATCATTATTTGAAAATGAAAGTGTTATAATGAAAATAAAAGCAATGTTGTTTGTTCATTCATTCATTCATACATTCAGGCACATAGACTTATGTAGGCACATGTAATGACTCACAGTCTTAATAAAATATAACCTAAACAACTAAAAACCATACTAAAACCATTATTTAAACACTATCAATGGCTGAATAAATTTGTAATATTTTTTTTCCAGGCAAGAAAAAGAACTTAAATTAGTAAAGGCAAAAAGTCCCAGTTTGGTTCCTAACATCTTTTCTTTAAATGATTATTAGAATGTGCTGCCATTCAGATTCCGGCTTGGTTATATTCACACCATGCCTATTCAGCTTTATTTTATTTTACATCTATTTTATAATCAACAATGTATTGGTAGCCTCTGATTGACTCTTCCTGCTTGTTTTCTTCTGACAGTGAGAAGATTCAAACAATTGCAGAAAATCTTTCAAGGTACGATGAATGAATTTGGATTCTGGACCTTTACAGTCCTTCACAATCCAATGTTGAAAAGAGACATTAATTGGCTTTTGATCCGTGGTTGTTGGGTAAATAAAATTATAAAATCAATTTGTATATTATACTAAACATGTCAGAAAGTTTTCCCTGTAATCTGTTCCCATGGGTGGGATTCTACTTGTTCAGACTGGTTTTATAAAACCGGTTGTTACAATTCTGCACAGTTTGGAAAACTAGGCAAATTCCACCAGTGACTGGCCCTACCCAACCCTGCCCAGTCACTCCTTATCTTGCATGCACATCATCCAATTTGCCTGTGTTGTGCCTTTGCCTAATTTTTGATAAGTTGCTATTTTTCCTTCCCCCCCCACGATCAGCTGTTCCAACTATCAGCTGTGTCACATGATTTAGATTACCTAGAAAGCAAGAAATTGTCGGAGGGGGGAGAAGTGGCGTGAGAGCAGAGCTGAACCTTCCTTAGGACTGAAGCTTCTATTTTTCAATGTAGACTCGGGTAGCAGATTGCAGAAAGGTAGATCTGTGAGTAAATCTGATTTTGCAAGCAACTCAATCTGCCTGTCTGCTCTGCCTGATTTTGGGTAAAAGTTGCTCTTTTTTAATTTTAAAAAAAATATCAATATTTACATAATTATTTACACTATTTACATACAAGCTATGCCCAGTCAGTCACATGACCACCAAGCCACACCCACAAATTAGGCCATGCCCACAGAATCTGTTGTTAAGAAATTTGATTCCCACCCCTGACTATCCCTATTGGCCAAAAGAGTCAAGTAGACTGAGTTTATTTAACCGAGACTCATAAAGAGATAATATCCAATTTGGAATCCATAAACTGTGCAAAATAAAAATGGATAATGTACAAGTCAGAAGCATGATTTGTGTATTCTATAGGTAATTCATATCGTATCAACTTTTGTTTTAAAAGGCCTTACTTGTTGTCCATCTTGATAGTTGTCTATACTTAATGTCTGCGTTGCCATCATGGTTACTGAGATGCTTTGAAGTCAAATCATATCTTGGTTCAATTTTTTGCTGCAAAGAAACCATAAATAATATTAGTATTTTAAAAGAAAATTATATAATTGTTGAAATCTGTGTCCGGTTGAAAAATGTGTTCTTTCATATATATGCCTGCTGGTCATAAAATACTGATAATCATAATTTTTGTTTTGTATATGTGTTTTCACACGTCAAAATAAAATAGAAATGTACCACAAAAATATCTGAAAGAAAACAATGCAAACCAACCTTTTGGGAATTTGGAAAATGTTCTTTCAGATTATTCTCTGTTGAATGAATATGGGTACTGGTCCAGTCATGGGATCAGATGGCAAAGCAAACTGGTTATTTTTAAATCCCTGCTAGCACACAGTTTACACTCTTTCTATCTGAAGACTGTTCAATGGCTAAATCAAGGCACAAGAATTAACTTCATGATGTTTCTCAGACACAACCACAAACATTTGCATTTATTTGTTGTCACATTTACAGGAACCCACCCATTTATAACTATCTTCTTTTCTCTCACATTCATCATATCCTTTATTTACACAAATTTGATTTACCCTTCCAGCTCATCTGTATATTTTTCCCATGTGGTTCTGAAAATGGCCACATACGAGCTAGAAGTAGCTATTTTTGCTATGATAAGGGTGTTTTTTTTAATCACCACAGTTTATATCTGTGTAAATTTAGTTTGTACAGTTTATATGGATGAGTCAGACCACAAGTTAGATAACAACCAGTCTTTGGTGATCCCTTAAGCTACTATGTATACTGTAATAAGAGTAGGCAAAATATGTAGTTTTTCAAAAATTAAAGAAAACATGCAGAAGTAGCCACATGAAAATATTAATATTAATATAATAGTAATATTAATTGGTTTAGAGCCATTAACTTATAGAAGAATTGGTATCCAATAATGATGATGGTGAAATAGCTTTCTTCATTTTGCTTTACACATTTTTTAAAACCACCAAAGTCCTCAAAGTAAAGGAGCATTGAAGGGGTCTTCAGGGGTTCATTCAAGAGATATATAAGTTGGAAACAAAATGGAACAAAACAAAATAAGAAAATTATCAGCTCAGAAGAAACCACAGAAATGTGAAACCTGGTCAATGCCAAGGCAGGAAAATCTGTTTCACATTCAGATCATTATTTATCAGTTTTTAAAACAAAGAACTTCATTTTATAGAAGTATAATACTGCCAAACAGATATATTATCAGGAAGCTTTTCCATCTATACCCATCAAGTGAAAGGTATTGTCTGTGTCAATACTCATCACTATAGTACTATTGTTTCTCAACTGGATAACTAAATATCTCACTAAGCTGGACATTGAGCCTTTCAGGATGTGTCTTCTCTCTTTCTTTATTGACATGATTGTCTTATTCGCTAAACAATAGGATAACAGCTAAAATCAGGTGTTAAATAAACCTGCCCTGTACTTTTTAAAATTTTGCATGGAAATATAATTCAAACATGAGGATCAGGATGTTGTATTTTTAAAGAAACAAGTTCTAGTGGTGAAAGGGATAAATACAACCATATAATGTAGCAGCATACAAGAATATAAGCAGATTATCACACAGCACTTCTGTATTTTCAGTGGTTCTCTCTGGAGACATTAATAGAAAAACCTTGCTATTGCAATCTTTAGGTACACAGATCTGCAAGATATTGCAGTGAAAATAAAGAAAATTCCAAGAGTCAGGACAATGGAATTTCCTCATTGGATTATTTTTATATAATGACACTGATCAGCAAGGTATTGGCTTTTTAGTTTCTTTCTTGTCGTAAGATAAACAGTGCTTACAAATCAATGCTTTTCTCTCTTCTTAGCAAATAGGGTCCAGCTTTTCAATTGTCATACTATCCTTCTGGTATTCATTTCCTAGGAAGGTATGCCTAAGTAAATAACAGAACAATTTTCATTTAGTTGAACTAGATGTAATCATAGAAGCAACAATTACTTTTTAACTATTTGACATTTCTAGTAAGATAATCTGTGGAAATATAGCCACAGAATTTCATCTTTAGTGGAAGAAGGAAAAGTCCAACCAGTACATAATTTCCCCCCAAAATTCATGTTGGAGATATTGGTCAAATAAAAATAAATGTTTATGGAAAAAGAAAACATATTACAATAGAAATTATAGACTTCAAAAGAATTAGATGATTATAACTGAAGAATAAAACAATATTAGGAAAAGAAGTTTGCAGTGTTACATTTTTTATATTTAGAGAAACATGAAAAGAATGGTAGAAGAATATACGTATGACTTTTGATAGTTTCAAACGTTAAATTAAGAAAAATGTAGTGTGTAGGACAATACCATCATATTCTTTGGAGAAAATAATTTATATGTCTTTGCATGAACAGAGAAATAAGAATAGCAGATTTAAATTGTTTTCACTAAAGGATGTAATTTTTATTATTCAGTCATAATTTAATAATTTGAATTCTAAGTAGTACTATGTTCACCAGAAAAAAGAATATTCAAACTTAAAATTAGTTCCAGTTATATTTTTAAATTTTCAATTCACTTTGCGATGACAAATCTTAACAACACAAGTATTTGAAAGTGTTGTTATAAACTGAATTGAGCTTGAAAACCTTAGCTGACATTTGATAATGACTCTTAGTGTAGGTGCTATGGATCCACTAATATCATGTAACATATTTTTCCAACTTTATTGGGACATTTTTTTTTCTTTTGGATTGAATCTAGGATTTGCTACATTGTCTTCTTTGGAATTGATTGCTATATTTTACAACCAACAGGAGGTGATTTCCACAGCAGTGAAAGTGAGCATGAAACTTTGTAGATTTCTCCAAATCAGAAGTGGTATTCAGCAGGTTCTGACCAGTTCTAGAGAACCAGTGGCAGAAATTTTGAGTAGTTCAGAGAACCAGCAAATGCCATCTGACTGCCCCTGCCCCCATCTATTCTCCACCTCCCAAGTCCCAGTTGGTTGGGTGGTCTTCTTCTGTTGCCCTGCACAGGAGAACGGAGCTGGAAAGCAGGTTAGTGGGGTGGGGAGGGCATGGAGATTTTGTAGCAACCTTCCCTCAGGAGTGGGGAGGGAATGGCGATTTTACAGTATCCTTCTCCTGCCATGCCCATCAAGCCACGCCCACAGAATCGGTAGTAAAAATGTTTGAATCCCACAACTGCTCCAAACCACTGTTATTTGTGGTTTTAAATTTCATCCATTACCATACGTTGCTTGCTGCACCATTCATTGTTTCAGTTGTTATTTTATCACAGATTGAAATATTATTATTTGCTGCAGGCAGAACATTTGGAAAACCTGTGGATTTTCCAAATCATTTTGAAAAAAGGTCCAACATTCTGCACCATACAGCAACAAAACATACTGTATTAATGATAAATAAACAAGCATATTGGTAACAATGCTCCCGCTGCTTTTTTTTCTTGCCGGAAGAACTGTGTCAATGCTTGATAGACTGAGGCAGTGTAGCTGATTTGATTGTTGCTATTGGCTGTGGTAGATGGGTCTGCTTCTGGACAACAGAATCAAAGTATTAAAATTGTTCAACTTCAAACATTGCTCCATCAGAGCGGATGGCAAAGACTTTCAGCATGTGTATATGGATTATTAAACAGAAAGGAAGATGTAACAATACCTACTCCAGTGCATACAGGCATTTTATCATGAACAGAATTTCGTGATTCCTTTTACAGCTCCTTCAGGAGGCTATTTTAGCAAGCTTATCTTTGGCAATTGGTGCCACTGAAAAGCACTTTCAAATGCTGTTGCAAAGTCAATGAACAGTGATGACCTTCTTTCCATACCTGATATGTTCTTACAACAATTGTGATACACATATTTGGTCATACCTGTTCCAGGACAGAAACAATCTGGTTCTTGGGAGTAGTTGTTTTCATTCTGAAACTTTTTTCTGGATTACTATATTTTCACAAATATCTTACCCTCCAATGAGAAAAGGCTAATAGGTTCCTTCTTAATTATATTAGATGTCCAACCTATTTTTTTAATGCTTTACTACTGTAAATTGGCGTGCAAGATTTAGTGTAGCAAATAGTAGCATTTAAAAATAGTGTAGACAATCCAACTAAGAAGAAACATGTTTTGTACTATTCTTTCAAAAACTATAACTTGTAATAACTGGGATCATCTGTTGAACCAAACCAGACTTTTTTAACACTAATGGCAGAATAGAACAATATTGGACCTGTTTCTCTTCAATGCTAAGCCACAATTAGTGGATTCACAAATTACTGCAGTAAATCCTCATATTATGGTATAGCGTGATCTATGATTCCACAGAATGAAATGCATTAAATACTTTTGAATGCAACAAGGTCTTTGCAATAATAACTAATATATTTAAGTTGTGCGTTTACTTGAATAAATTCACAATAATAAATTCTCTTTGAATGTTCTTATTTAATAATTTCTTTAAAAAATTCAACATACTGTGTTTTAAGGCTACTCAAAAAACAGCTGTGAATTGTTTTTACTGTTTTTATTGGGAGAAAGTTGATTGCTTTGATACGATTTAAAAGTTCATAATACTGCATGTTTTTTTTAATAAAATGTAATAAATTCTTATGTGTTCACACAGAAATATAAGTTAGTAATCACTACATACAATTTATGTACTTATTTGCGTCCTGCCTTTATCATTTTTACAAATAACTCTAGGTGATAAACATATTCAATGCACCTTCCTCCTTATTTTCCATGATGTGGGTTGGGGTTGAGAGTGAGTGACTGGCCCAATGTCACCCAACTAGCTTTCATGGATAGGCAGCATTTGAACTTGCTTTCTCACCTCATGTCTTAACCACTAGACGAGGGGTCGCCAACCTTTTGGACCTCAGGGACCACCAACTCATGATTTTAAATCCCAGGGACCACTAACCTTAGGTTCTGTGGTCATATCCTTATTTGTGGGTGTGGCTTGGTGGTCCTGTGACTGGCTGGGCATGGCTTGTATGTAAATATTATTAATATGTATATAAATATTGAATTTTTTATTAAAAAAGAGCAACTTTTATCCAAAATCAGGCAAAGCAGGCAGGCAGATTGAGTTGCTCACAGAATCAGAGATTCATTCAGAAATCTGTCTGCCACTGGCTGTCTCTCGCATAAAATTTGCTAGCAAGCAAACTCACAAAATTAACTCACAACACACCATGTATGCAAATATTTAGTTTTTTATTTTTAAAAAGAGCAACTTTAACCAAAATCAGGCAAAGCAGGCAGGCAGATTGAGTTGCTCACAGAAGCATTCAGTGATCTATCTGCCATCGGCTAGCTCAGTTTCTCAAATTTGCTTGTCATGAGTCTGCACTGAATAATAGAACCTTCAGTCCTAAGGGAGGTTCGGCTGTGCTTAAATGCAGAGCCAAAGTTCTAAAGACTAGCTAGAAAGCAAGAAATCCAACCATTACCTGCTTCCTCGCTAATCTAAATCTCCTGGCACAGCAGAACAGATGATGGTCAGAAAAAAAAATAGCAATTTAGCGGGCAAGTTTGCCAGGTAAGGAATGAGTGGGTGGGGAGGGTTCCTGTGGGCCATGTGGGCAGTGCAGCCTTGTGTTTCTGTGCAGCCTGGATTAATTGCTTTGGGGGGCGGGGGTGCTTTGGGGGTGAGATTTCTCTGTGGCCCACCAAAAATTTTCACAGCCACCAGTGGGCCATGGCCCACTGGTTGGCAACCGCTGCACTTGACCATCTCACTCTTGTTATATCTCTTATCTCTTACACAGTTTGTAAGGTAAAGGTTTTCCTCGTACATACGTGTTAGTCATTTCTGGCTCTAGGGGGCGGTGCTCATCTCCATTACAAAGCCGAAGAGCCACCGCTGTCCAAAGACATCTCTGTGGTCATGTGGCCGGCATGACTAAATGCCAAAGGCGCACGGAATGCTGTTACCTTCCCACCAAAGTGGTCCCTATATTTCTACTTGCATTTTTATATGCTTTCGAACTGCTAGATTGGCAGAAGCTGGGACAAGTAACGGGACCTCACTCCATTACGCGGCACTAGGGATTTGAACCGCTGATTTGCCGACCTTTCTGATCAACAAGCTCAGCATCTTCACCACTGAGCCACTGCATCCCTTCTTACACAATTACTAAAGTATAAAAAGATTGTCCATTGAATAATTTTATTATAAGAAGCAATCACCATAAATTCATTATCTGTCATATGTAGTACTATATAAATGAAATTACTGTAAGCTATATTTTAAATATTACAGTTTTATATCAGACCTATAGAATGAGAGGACTAGTTCTGTAACAACTTTAAATATATATATTATTAAAAGTGTGAATAAAAAACTAAATCCCATTCATGTGGAACATAAATTTAAATTAATATTTTCATAACTCTAAAATCTAGGGGGAATTAATATTCAGCCTTTTACTGCAGAACAAAGCTTTGTTTATTCAATTTATATGACTACCCACTTGGTATTCTGGACAGTAAACAGCTGTTTGAAAATAAACACATCTACAAAAACACACCTGGAGTTGTACTCTTGAAGCAGTATTCATATCCATATCAATGCAACCCTCTCCACCCCGCAAAATGGATGGATACATGGATAATATTGGTCCTGCAAATAACCAAGCCCTGTGCCATGAAGGGATTAGTAGGTCATAATCAGCACTTTGAAATACACCCAATAAAATTGGGCCTTATATCAACATTCCAGATGGAATTGCAAACAATTATAGATTCCTATTTAGAAATACTATTACATTATATTTTTTTAAAAGCAGCATTTTTGAATTCTTAAGAGAATTTGCAGTGTTTTGCATAATTTAAGAATTTATGCCAAAAGACCTTGTTGAATTTGTGATCCAAATTAAACTCATTTACTCATTCCACAAAGCACTTTGCCTCATTGGTTATCCCAAAGGAAGCACATTTTGTGCATGCATACACATGCTCAGAAGATCTCAAGAGAGCCACTTAAGTAGCCATACCTGGATCTGCTTTTTGAAGTTGCAGCTGCTCTAAAACTCACAGCAGCTGCTTTGAAGTGCTCGGAATAAACCTCTGTTGGGTTGGCAGATGAAGCAAAGCAGAAAAGTGTCTTGCAAAATGATTTTCAACACATAATTAAACAATCTTGACTTTGCCAGTGGGATGGGTGCAATACAAAGCACACAATTATGTTCCTTTCAGAGAGAGTAACTGATAGTCTTGTAAGTGAATTATTCTTATTCTATTTGAACAAGAGTCTACCAATTATAAACAATGCCAAAACAAGTTACAGGTAGTGACCAAAGTTACAACAACACTTTAAAAAGACTTAAGATCAGTTTTCACACTTATGACCACTTCAGCACCCCCATGGTCACATGATAAAAACCTGGACACTTGGCAACTGGTATGTATTTATGACAGCTGCAGTGTCCTGAATCATGTGATCACAATTTGTAACCTTCCCAGCCAGCTTCTGACAAGCAGTGTCAATGGAGGAAGCCAGATTCATTTAACAAACACATAATTCACTTAAAAACTGTAGTGATTCACTTAATAGCTTGGCAAAAAGGTTGTAAAATGAGGCACAACTCCCTTAACAACTTCCTCACTTATTAATAGAAATTTTGGGCTCAATTATAGTTGCAAGTCAAGGACTACCAGTACTTTTACCTTCTTCAAGGAACTAAATACTTTTATTAGTGGAAATACAAACTGTTACAAGAAAAAAATGTGCAATTTTATTATTTTCTATTTTGATGCTGCCATTATACAATATCATGTTTGTGATAGATTATATGCTACCATATTATAGTATTGTTTAAGCAGCTTATACAATGGAGTTTACTTGGCAATAAATTAAAATTACTACTCCTTCAGCAGGTCTTGCTCCTGAATGTGTGCTGAATACAGCATTTATAAACTGATGTCAAATCATAATCTGATTCAAGAAACCATGGTTTAAACTAAAATATTGATATTCTTATTTAAGCACCATCCAGCCAACATAATTATTTGTGTAATTCCAATTCAAATAACCAGTAGTTCAAGAAACTGAAGCTTCGATACTTACCTCAAATCTGTGACTTAATGTATGCTTTAAAATATTTAATATTAACATTGAATGTAAAGTTGAAAGTAATGTCATTAAATATCATAGGCAAATAATGTGCACAGGTCAATTAAGTAATGTCAATTATAATTCCCAAAAGAGTACCTCAAAGTTGTAATTCTTAAGAGGGTAGGAAAATTACAGTTGGAATGTAACTATTTCTGCCAAGAGTTTTATTTAAATTAAATGTTAAGTGAAAAATTGCTCTTTGGATGTGATCATCAGCATACTGCTCAAATACCAAATGTAAGGCCAATTCAACATTTAAAACAAGTAGCAAGTTACAATAATAGTGTTGCAAAAGGATACCAATGTACCATTTCCTTGTATCTTCATTTCTAGCCCCATTGCCTTGTAATTATAACCAAGTCTTTAATGTACCCCTAAAATACTTTAAAAATTGTGACTTAGTTATAGTTAGCACAAATAGCAAACTATGGAAATGATACAGTAACTAGAAAATAAAAGTGTATTTTAAAATGATCAATTGATTTACAATATGAAAATGACCATTCCTAATATAGTGAGGGTCCAAGCTAAAAGCAGTAAGAAAAACAAACATAAAAATAGAAGGAATAACAATATTTATAATATTTATAATAAATTTATAATATATTGAACTTTTATGTCTCTCAACAACTAGACAGTTCACAACCAAAGAAATTCATTACTTCTGAATTGTTTATTTATTATTAGATTGGTACCCTGCCTTTCAAAATCAATTATCAGAAAATTAATGGGAATTCAATTGATTACTATTATCCTATTATTTAGAACTGTCAATTTATAATTTGTTAGATATTCAATATTTTGTTTTCCTCAGTGAAATAAAAAATAAATTCCAATGTGCAGGCAAAGTTTACTATTCTGTGTAGGCATTTTATTATTGTAATTATGATGAAAAAAAACCATTTCTAGCCAACACAAAAATATAATGGTAACTTGTAGTTTAGTAAAATTACCCACTCCTATAAGTCTCATTTCTTAGTACATGAGTACTCAGGAATCCTTCCTTATTGTTCATCTGTAGTATTTACCAGAACATTTAGTTTTATGCAACACTTTGAATTCAATTCCCCAAGGTGTTTTTCCCCCCAAAAATGCATAAAATGTAATATGCCTGCAACTGTTTTTGCATCAATTCCAGAAAGATACAGCTGTTTTAAAATGTTGCAAATTGATGCTACATTTTATTTCCACACATTCACAGCAGCTACTGAAGATGAAATCTGAAACATTTCTTGGCCCTATTCAGCATCCTAAGCATCTTGGTTTCAAGACTTTATTCTAGCATTAGCATTAGACTAAAAATCCTATGGCTTAATATTTTCAAGAATGGAGGATTTCTTCAGGCTCATATATATTCTTGGTGCCACCGGCGTCCATTTGTCTATCAAAAGATGAAGCCAATTCTCACCAAGATTTCAGGAGCTACTGATTAACAATTAAATAAAATTACTTGAGTAAGAATGTAACACAATGCATTATTCTCTCAACTGAACAAAATGTATACAAAATTAGATAACACACACCCATCACCTATATTTATGCATATTAAAGTTCCATTTTTTCCAAGCAGAAAATTTGTGGTTTGAAACAAATCTGATATTTTAGTGTAAAAACTGTATGCATGTGCAATGGTTATGTATGCAATAAACTGCAAATGTCACTTTGATTATTAAAATTCTATAGCATTTATACTACCATGAATCCTTCAAAATCTGTGCTTAAACTAATTCTGTAGCATCGTTTATATTATTGCTGCTCTCGGTACACAAAATCAAAATAAAGGAATCTAAAAATTCAAATGTGCATAACTGGGAGGTTTTCTTAGTATAACTTTGAAAGGTACAGTTTGCTCACTCATTTAAATGCTTAATGTAACTAATGAACTGGAAAACTAGCATTCTTTTTCACGTTGCAATCTTCAACTATCACAATAAACACGGTTAGTGGTTATCACAAAATGTTTATCAACATCAAACAGGGCAAGAAGTACACATATCAGCTCACATACTCAACACTTAGTACTTGAAATCAAAGAATAATTCGTATTTCCAGTTCTGCCAAGCTCCAGCATTAACGTCACTCAGTGCCATTTTCAATTTAGCCAGGGGATACAAATTCGTGGGAGACTCTCTACTGGTTTGAAAATGTATTTAAGATTCTCTTCTCCCCTTTGAGAAGTGGGGTGGAGAGTATGCAATTTTTTTATATATATTCCCGAATTGTGCATGGGTCGCCAAGCAAACACCCCAAAACGGCTCAGAAACAAAGCTACCCTCCACGTTTATTATTGACAACCAGATTACATAACAACAATCCCCTCGGATTTCCCAATTCTTTACTAGGAATCCCCCCCACGTCCATTCACGTGCAAAAGGAGGGTTATTTCAAGCTCCGGAAAAGTAGCTGCGAACCTGTGGAAAAACCGGAGGTTGGGGGGGTGGGGGAGCGGGAAAAAGGGACGGGAGGGCTTTTTTGAGGCGTCCGAGCGAGTTAGAAAAAGAAGCGAGCGAGGAAAAACGCAGGGGAAACCCCGCTGATTGTTCAGTTCCTCTTCTATTTCTCCACGTCTACAGGAATGCTCCCGAAACGGCCCCTTTAAATGCCGCCCTCGCGGTTTCCCCCACACGCCCACCCGTCGCACCACGAACAGCTGCTGCCCTTTTCTCTCTCCCTCCCACCTCGAGGCGCGCGACACCTCCCCCGCCTCGGTGTGTGCGTGCGTGTGTGTGCGCGCGCCGGCGCCGCCGCCGCCTCCTCCTCCTCTTCCTACAAAAGCAACGGCCAGTCGGCGGCTGTTCCAGAAACTTCCTCACTCCCCCTCCCTTTCCTTCCTCGTTCCAGACCGCCGACGCCCCTAACCCCCCTCCCGAGTAAGTTACGGTGTCTTTGCCCATATCCCGCTTTTCCATGTTGCGGGTTCACCTCCCCCCACATCCCGGATCTGTTAGCGCAACTCAGCCAAGCCGGCCGATACTGGCGGCGGGCGCGCCGTGATGGATGGATGGCTGGCTGGCTAAGAGCAGGTTTGAGTGACAGCGCTTACCTGGGTGCCAATCTTCGTCACACTGACAAGCGGCTGCAGCAATCGGGACCCGCACCGCCGCGACGCGCGTCACCACGCATACATGGCCTCGACCAATTGCAGGGCGCGCCAGGCGAGACGACAACACGCTTCGAAAGACGCCTCATCAATATTCAGCAAGGGAGCGGGGCACGTCGTATTTTTAGATACGCCCACTCCGCGGAGCGCCATAGTGAAGGGGCGGGGCGGCAAGAGAAGTACCGCCCCCTCGGGCCTGGGCGCGAGGCTGAATGGCCTTAATGAATACTCATTAGGTTGGGGGAGGGTGCCACCCACCCCTCTCAGCTTGAGGGGTGGAAGAAGTTGTCTACTATCGCCGCTTGCGGGTTTGATGCCCATGAAACGCTCCGTTCCTTGGAGCCATCGATCCGAGCCGAAGGCGCTTGTGACGTCACATCGTGTTTCCCCCCCTCCCTCCCTCCCCATATGAGATGGCCGGGGTGATCCTGAGGCTCTAGTTAGGATGTAATACAATCCGCAGGGTGCGAACGGAGCTGTTCCAGATGGCTTTGGTTCGTTTTATTTGTGCCCCAGATCTCTGTTCTTCTGAATAGTGTTATTTTTCCTTTCCCCCTCCCCCTAATACTGAAGTTGTCTCAATGTGCAAGGCGTGCGTTTTAAAATACATAGATTTTTGTTCGGGGCATTCGCCGTTTGATTGCATTTGCGACTGACTTGCTTGGCTTGGTATAACAGAAAACTATAAACTGAAGAGACTGGTTTGGTTTCCCTAATACATCACCGTATTTTAAGAACCCCATTAGTTTGCAAAGTTTGAAGAATAATGGTTCCAAAAGATTGCAGCTCATTCTAAATGAACTTCTTGTGCACCCAGTTATACTGTAGGTCTATATGAATATTTCTAAACATTCTGTTAATAATGGCAAAATTATAACACTTTTGCAATACTTTCAAAGCTTAATTTGTTAGCTACAAAAACAATAAGAGGGTAAATGCAAATATGCACTAGTTTCGTATTTTAGAAATGTTACACATGTTTAAGATTAAATTCAACACGAATACAGTGTCTGATATTGCCCACTTGTCAAGTATTATTTGACAACTATTTTTGACAGTTAACTAATACTTATATGGAATACACACACACACACACACACAAGATTATATTCCTTTCTTAAGATAGTACTGTATGGTGATTGTATGGTTTTCTCCCTTTAAAGTGTTAAAAACTGCTTAATATTCAATAGTATGATATAATTTCATTTACATATTTTAATGTACATAATAATACAAAAGTGAGAATTTTGTGGGATCAGTTCTTTTTTACCACTCTCACTTTTACCATGAGAAAAGGAGAATAAAAATAATCACTTTCATAACAGAAACAGGTAGTTTGTGGATTATGACCGTTCATTCAGCAATAATTCAGTTATGATGCTGAATGAATGGTATTTACGACTAGTCCTCAAAGTTCCAGATTTGCAGTATGTTCACAGCCAAATGGTTGCAGTTTGGGTGCTTGGCATCCGAATTGCATGACTATTGCACCATATTGCCCAGGGGAGACATAGCAGTGTTCCAATATTTGAGGGGCTGCCACAGAGAGGAGGGGATCAAGCTATTCTCCAAAGCACTTGAAAGCCAGACAAATAATAATGGATGGAAACTGATCAAGGAGAGATTCAACATGGAAATAAGGAGGAATTTTCTGACAGTGAGAGCAATCAACCAATGGAACAGCTTGCCCTCGGAAGTTGTGGGAGCGCCATCACTGGAAGCTTTCAAGAAGAGACCGAACTGCTATCTGTTAGAAATGGTGTAGGGTCTCCTGCTTGGGTTAGATGACATACAAGGCCCCAACTCTGTTTATCTGTTAAAATTCCATAATCACAGGATCACAATTTGCAATCTTTCCTGCTGGCTTCCCCATTGATTTTGCTTGGTGGAAGCTGGCAAATAAGGCCACAAGTGGTTCCTGTAAGCTGCTCCTGCTTTTCCTCCCAAGGAACTCCACTACAGAGTAGGAGATCACCTACAGACAGCATCAGCATCCCCTACCAGCCTGTGAGTCCTACTGTCCCACCTGCCCTCTGTAACATTCACCTGGAGTAACCCTGATCTACCTGCGTAGCGATTGCTCATGGACACTCCTCCCACCTCTGCATGTCATCCTGTGCTCCTTGCCTGGGATCCCTGCCTCTTCCTGCTTAACAACCCACCCAATCCTGAGAGTTGAATGGCAACTGGGACTGCCAGGATTGCATTGCTAAGTGATGTGATCATATAATGTCACACTTTATGACTGCATCACTTACAAGTCCCGGTCCAAATTATTATCATAACTTGAGGATTACCTGTACTGATATACATTCTTTCCTACCTGTTTTAGTTTTTTACCATACAGAAATCAGTGTGAATGAAGCATAAATCGTGTTGTTTTCTGTTGCCTATGAAAAAAAGCAATCTTTCAAATTGAATTTGACTCCTTGCCACTTCATGCATATGTCCTATAGGTGGGCAAAACTCAATTACAATAAATTAGTTCATGTTCAAAATATCCCAACATTTCTTATGTTTGTCACAAAAGTGTATCAATTCTAACAATCTGAAATAAGAGAATATTCAATAACTGAATGTTAGACATTATTAATTCCTGCAGTGCTCAATGTTCTGTTTATGGGGCAATTCTTTCCTTGGAATAAATAAACTGTTGCTCATCTTGAGACTTTTTAAATAAATAGGGCATATGAACAAATTAACCACCATCACAATAATAGGCTTAAAGAAATCAAACACTGAAAGTATGGAGTAAGCAACTTTGAGAGTACCTTGTTATACTGTATGAATTTTTTCAGCAAGGCTCCATTTTACTATGTTCGTATATATTGTAAATCATAAATAGTTACAATTATGGTAATAAAAATACAGGTTCAGACCTTTACAGGTTACATTCTTGTAGGACCAACTGAAATTGCGAAAGGTTCAGGCTGCTGAATTTCAGGAGTTCAAAAGGCACATTTGTTAAAAAGGATAGGGAAAAAATGCTGATAATGGAGCAATACCAGTATGAGCTTAACTTATTGGGTGGACTGATTGTGAGCCTTCCACCATGTAAATTAAAGTTTAAGAAATTAAAGTGTGGTTGCAATAAAGGCTCACATAAAGGTTGCTGGAAACAATACATACAATTTCCCCATTTTGGGAAATATAAATTCCACTAGTCAAAAATGCTTCCATTTTGAATTTTTTCCCTTTTTGTAGTATATCTGAATTTCATTTCTTGACTTTGAATGGACCAAGCAACTGCTTCTAGGAAATCAAGCATAATGTATAGTCACAGATAATCAAATTACAGTAAAAAGAAAATGTAAATTACAATACTTTAAACAAAATAATGCAATCAAGTAATTTTTGTCTCTTGGCCACATAGAAAGATTTTCACCATGAAAACATTATTTGATACAGTAATATCATTGACATAACCTCTCAGAAGAGTATGCATAAGATTGAAATTTTAATGACTATATACACTACAATCATATAACTTTTAAGTAAGATAAACCATTGTTTGGCTATATTTGGGACCAAAGCAAGTACCTGGCCTTACTGGAAGGTTCTTTTCATTGAGAAAGGGATGTCATGATAGTTCAAATTAATGAACAGAATTAAGATCTCTTTTTAATAAGAAGTTCTGTAGTTGATTGGAATATTAATTCTAAGTGTTTCTTCCTGTTCCAAAATAGCAGAATATATACATGCTTGCTTAGGCAAAACGCAAAATAAGGGCATAAAATAAAAGTACAGTCAATGTATTTCATTATTGGCTTAATTCCCTTTTACCAAGTATCTGTCCAAAATGAAAACGGGCTGGCATTGATATTAGAAAATGCTTGGCCTTTTGACACATTTCTCAGAAGATCAGAGGCAGTTGCTGTGATTGCCTCCAAGTGCCCTTGACCTTCATATGTATTATGCTACTAATACTGCAATAACAGTTTTAGTAAATCCTGATAATAAAATTGAGATGAAGAGATAATCAGTAGTAAATGCAAGGACATTTTCAGATTTTCATTACATTGGCATGATTTTACACGATCAGAATTAAATACTAATTCTAAATGACATTATTATAAAATTGTGAGAATTTTTGAAATGGGAAGGTGAGATAAATATAATAATAACAAGTTGGCATTTCCATAACTATTCCTAATCCTATATCCAGGATTAAAAAATTAATGAAAATTATAAACCCAATAGACATATTTTTATTTCCTGTTACTACTAATGTAATAAGCATGCATAGGAAACCATTGTTTACTAATGTCATTTAGATCATAATATGCATGATGAAGATGAGATAAACTATTTTATTTCAGTTATAGCTTTGTTGTATAAACTCTATCAATTTTAATTCACATGGCTAAAAACCTCACATTTATCTTGCGGTAGCATCATCAGCCAAAATATCAATCTCCTTACCTCAATTCAGTCAATGAGCTATAAAATACCATAATCTAGATTTATTAAAATTAAACTAGACTGTAATCCAAAAGTAAGAATGAAATGCAAGTTCTCTTGCCATACCATAATCTAGATTTATTAAAATTAAACTAGACTGTAATCCAAAAGTAAGAATGAAATGCAAGTTCTCTTGCCATACCATTCTCTTCCTTTATTGTGGCAGATATTTATATATAAAAACCCACTTTATTTAGATAAAAGAACCCTGATTCCTCTTCACAGTATCAGCTAATTTCTTTTATAATGTTGATATGTAGTTTTTTGCTTTTCAAGCATACCAAAATGACTTATCTGAAAAAATGCTTTATTAAAATGAACCACACTAGAGTTAATCTTCTTTCACTTACAAAGGCTGTTCTATTTCTTTTTGCAGCATATCCAAAAAATTTTTAAGATAAAAGAACAGTTAGCTATTGTAGAAGGCTATAATAACCCAGAAAAAGTGCTCTCTGCAGTTTCCCTGGTAAGTTACGCAAACACTTAATGTAACTCCTAAATTGTCCAAATTAAGGGTAAT